ATCCATGAACAATTGTAAGTAGGGCCAGCGATACCCTCGCTTATTTTTCCATCAAGAAACTTCAGCCGGGACCGGCCCGGTGGCGCACTGCTACAGTGCGCCGCTTGGGAGCGGTGGCACTCCCGCCGAGGGTTCGGATCCCACATACAGACCGGTTCCCGCTCACTGGCTGAGCGAGGGGCGGGTGCGGCACCGAGGGTTGTGATCCCGTTGCCGGTCCCGGTCTGGTGCGGGCGCGACACTGAGGGTTGCAGTCCGTTGCCAGACACGAAAAAAGACAAAAAGGAAAAAAAAAAGAAATGTCAGCCGAATGCAGCAGTCTGCTAAGTGACAACATGGGTTTTCCTTCTGGCACAAGCTCCCCATCTCCTTGCAGCCCAGTAGCGAACAGCACTCGGAGCAGCAATGCCAGACATGACCTGGCACCCGAACCCGAGGGGGTGTCTTAAGAGTCTGCCCCTGAGGGGCCAGGTCACAGCCAGGTGCACAGGCCCACGAATGCAGGGGAGATGCGCTACCGGTGAGGCGGGTGACATGTGACTGTGACTCAGCACACACGTCCAGGGCTTGCCTTTTTCTATGGATAAGAACAGATCTGAGGCTATTTCGGTAATACTGGACTTCTCGCTCTCATTTTGATGTTCTCTCCTGAGAAGGAAAGGAAGGGGTAGATTTGGGCCGGAAGGGGAAGATGGGTCACACTGTGTCTCATGTGCCCACAACCTGTCAAACTGTCACCTACCAACATGAGGGCACTGGGGAATGGGTTCTTCTCCTCCTGAAAAGGGTTATTTAAAGGTCTCGCTCGGGCCAGCCCGTGGCTCACTCGGGAGAGTGCGGTGCTGATAACACCAAGGCCACAGGTTCGGATCCTATATAGGGATGGCCGGTTGGCTCACTGGCTGAGCGTGGTGCTGACAACACCCTCCCCACCCGCACCCTCCTGCCTGCACCCCTTCCCTGCCTCCCCACCCGCACCCTCCTGCCTGCACCCCTTCCCTGCCTCCCCACCCGCACCCTCCTGCCTGCACCCCTTCCCTGCCTCCCCACCCGCACCCTCCTGCCTGCACCCCTTCCCTGCCTCCCCACCCGCACCCTCCTGCCTGCACCCCTTCCCTGCCTCCCCACCCGCACCCTCCTGCCTGCACCCCTTCCCTGCCTCCCCACCCGCACCCTCCTGCCTGCACCCCTTCCCTGCCTCCCCACCCGCACCCTCCTGCCTGCACCCCTTCCCTGCCTCCCCACCCGCACCCTCCTGCCTGCACCCCTTCCCTGCCTCCCCACCCGCACCCTCCTGCCTGCACCCCTTCCCTGCCTCCCCACCCGCACCCTCCTGCCTGCACCCCTTCCCTGCCTCCCCACCCGCACCCTCCTGCCTGCACCCCTTCCCTGCCTCCCCACCCGCACCCTCCTGCCTGCACCCCTTCCCTGCCTCCCCACCCGCACCCTCCTGCCTGCACCCCTTCCCTGCCTCCCCACCCGCACCCTCCTGCCTGCACCCCTTCCCTGCCTCCCCACCCGCACCCTCCTGCCTGCACCCCTTCCCTGCCTCCCCACCCGCACCCTCCTGCCTGCACCCCTTCCCTGCCTCCCCACCCGCACCCTCCTGCCTGCACCCCTTCCCTGCCTCCCCACCCGCACCCTCCTGCCTGCACCCCTTCCCTGCCTCCCCACCCGCACCCTCCTGCCTGCACCCCTTCCCTGCCTCCCCACCCGCACCCTCCTGCCTGCACCCCTTCCCTGCCTCCCCACCCGCACCCTCCTGCCTGCACCCCTTCCCTGCCTCCCCACCCGCACCCTCCTGCCTGCACCCCTTCCCTGCCTCCCCACCCGCACCCTCCTGCCTGCACCCCTTCCCTGCCTCCCCACCCGCACCCTCCTGCCTGCACCCCTTCCCTGCCTCCCCACCCGCACCCTCCTGCCTGCACCCCTTCCCTGCCTCCCCACCCGCACCCTCCTGCCTGCACCCCTTCCCTGCCTCCCCACCCGCACCCTCCTGCCTGCACCCCTTCCCTGCCTCCCCACCCGCACCCTCCTGCCTGCACCCCTTCCCTGCCTCCCCACCCGCACCCTCCTGCCTGCACCCCTTCCCTGCCTCCCCACCCGCACCCTCCTGCCTGCACCCCTTCCCTGCCTCCCCACCCGCACCCTCCTGCCTGCACCCCTTCCCTGCCTCCCCACCCGCACCCTCCTGCCTGCACCCCTTCCCTGCCTCCCCACCCGCACCCTCCTGCCTGCACCCCTTCCCTGCCTCCCCACCCGCACCCTCCTGCCTGCACCCCTTCCCTGCCTCCCCACCCGCACCCTCCTGCCTGCACCCCTTCCCTGCCTCCCCACCCGCACCCTCCTGCCTGCACCCCTTCCCTGCCTCCCCACCCGCACCCTC